GGAACGTTGGAAGCACTGTATGACGCGTCTGCCTCCGCGACCCGAAAGGAGAAGCGGCGATGGAAGATGAAGATGAAGATGAAGATTTATAGGCCACTATTAAGCTCGCTTGGTGAAGGGCCTTAGCAGGGTTCTGTGAAAGCATTGTGGGGGTTTTCCTCGCCTTTATCCAACAATAAAATTAAATAAACTTATGATAACTATCAACAGAATTCTCTTCCTATGTTTATGATCATGATCAGTTTAGGACAAACATATCTGACGTCAAAACAAAATCTCCTGGCATTATTTTCTTGTTCCCAGCTATCCACCGGGTAAAAATGAATGCCTGTAATAATTCGATGCGGGCCTCATTTACATTTTCATGATTAAGGGTCATCGATGACTGATTTTTCTCCAAGAAGTTCATAGGGCAGCGCCAATCTCTATTTCTATATCATCAGTGTGGGGTGCTTTGCTGTCGTTTCATAAGGCTAGATCTACAGCTGGGCTACCAATACATCGCATAGTCTCCTCTTCCTTCTCACAACGTGGTACTCACCCATGTACGTGGTATCTCGACAACATGAAAGGACAATGACTTCAGAGAAACTGGAACAGAGGACCTCTAGATTCTGAGACCGAGGCTCCACCGACTTTACAACCTCGGTTCGGGGGGAGGGGGAGGGTCACTCGGTAGGACACTATTACACGGTATTTGAAAACTAATAAGGTTACATGTATCTTGCATCATTTCATCTCCTAGAGAAATGCTTCGTTAATCATTGATGCTTTAACAGTTAGTACTTTCTACATGCTATCACAAAAACATCAAAAATACGTTCATGCACTAGAGTATGCCAACATGCTCATGATTTCTAAAAAGTAAGAGGATGGTGCAACACGCCGTAAAGCCTGGTCTTCGAGGTATTGTGTGGCATAGGGTTCTGTTTGTCTGACAGCACTTAAGAAGAATTATAAGCTAACATGCTCCAACAGACGAATACATTTAAGAAATAAACTTTAAGAATTAAAACGCAAATCCCAAACGCCGTGGACATCGCGACAAAGAGAAATTATTATTCTTCAGTGGTCCTCGAAGTTGCACGAAAGGTCAGGTCACTGCAATTTCCATGCATTGAGCTAAACCACAGCACTATATGAATGCTGTTAAGTTTGCTGCAAGAAAATGCCATCGACCGGGATGTAGTGTGGTACATCCATGGTGAGCGTTAAATGTTATAAGCGCCGCTTTTATAGTCAAAAGCCACAAGTTTATATAGCATAGTCACAGAGAGTAGGCTTGCTTTTATTCACATTAAGGTTGTTATAAATCATTGTTTCATAGCACCTTAAAAGATGCCCTTCAAACGATACAATATTTTTATCTTCTGTCCTTCAACTTTCAATTTTCACGTCGACAAGTGGCCATATTTAGGGAGAGTGGCGAGCACTTGTGAGGAGTAGAATACTGGTCATACAGCCATAATCTTACCCTTCCCAAATTTTGGTGTCTCTATTAATCACACCAATGCACTCAAACAAATGCGCACTCGCCCTTCACAATATTTCCATATCGCAAGCGCCTTATTTTTCATTTCTGTTAATCTTGAGTGCGCACATTTGGAATAACTTGTTCAAAGGGACAACAGTTGTTGTAGTCCTCTCAGAGAAAAAAACCGAAACCAAAATGTGATCAACATATTACCGTTATCGAATCGAACTAAATTGATGGCTGATACACTTTCATCAGATATTCAGTAAAGATCACCTGAAAAAAATTTCCTGCCACCGGAGATCCAAGGTTATGTTCGGCCGCAAATTTCGCGGCGCTCCATTTCGCACGATCAGATCGACGACCATATTTATCATCGTGAATCTTACCTGGCTGCTTGTAAACCAGAAACACGTATCGATGCAATCCTGCAAAAACGATCAATACATTAGTGCATGACTATCATACTATCATCTGTGAAAAAATTACCTGTCCCAGCAGGTGGCATCGATCCCATGTATGGTGTCAAGACCTCACCCTGAGAGATGTCCCCACTTGACGGCACGTTGACGATCAACCAATGACGCCACTCACGGAATGTCGGATTTTTACGGGAAGGTGCATCAGGATCTGAAAGAAAAACTTCGCTCACCATCGCCGTGCAAACCCTGACACTCATATCATCATCGCTCTGAATGGAGGAAGGCATTTAACCACTGCAGCAGATTAAGCCACATCTATGTGTGAGATCACCATCCTGATTTGTTTGTATACGCACAACGTCACTGGTTTATGACGCCCGCTGTATTCACAGCTTTTCAACAATTTTGCCATAGGATATCGGACCATACTGCATTGTAGAAAGAACAGTTCGGAACGTACCCCTGCTTGCAATTAATTCCCAAATGTTGCATGCTGACTTCCCGATCAACGTCTGCCGTTTATCGATTCCCACATGAGAAACTTATGGGCTAAACTAAGCGGCTTACGTCTATCCAATTTGTCTAATAGGGCCAAATTCATTTTCTTCATCACTGCATTTAGGTTATTTGCGCCAGAAGGATAATGAAGACCCTTATTAGGTGGTACTGCCATTTAACTTCCATTATGCATCCAAGTCAAAGCTGCTGCGCGCAGTTTAATACAGCAAGCAGTACTTTTTATTTACAACATCTAAATACCGTACAAAAACATTGACCTGAAGACGCAAGGCACAGGCAGATGTGCCAGTTTCGAGTTCGGGTGCCTCATATTAAGGATAAATTCAATAAAGAAAATTATTGAAACGACTATGATACAAAT